AGAAAGAAACTAAGAGGAAGAATTATAAGGAATATGTATAACATGCATGCTAAAATTCCAATGACCGAATTACTATGTTGTAGGGTCCGGTAAGAAAAATGAGCCAAAAGCTACATGGTACTTGAGATATTAATCTGGCCCCAACAGTGCTATTCCTCCACAAATTCAGCCCCAAGGGTACTCTCTTACATAAAATTTCCTGGTTTGATGTGTATGCAACTCAACGATATCTAAGTGCACCTAAGGTTCTCCATTCTGAATCACAATGAAGTTCAAACCTACAATATCTTTTAATATGATACCAACAGATTTTATGGTAAGAAAATACCTGAAAAGATGACAAATCCTCAAAACATCACAAGGATGTTCAGGGTGTATGCTAGGACATTCATTCAACCAGCAAAAACAGGCCACATAACTTGGAGTCCTCACTTCTCGAGTTAATTTTTGAGCGGGGAACATATGAAGGATGGCAGACCACGTAACAGCCTCTTGATCCCTCAGCAGTGTGACCCTGCCCAATCCACCCCCAAACACCTATACTATACCTACTGCAAACAACCCTCAGTTCTGTGCTTTCATCATTGAGGGTCATTTAAAACCACTAAAATGCAGTGTCTGATTTCAGAGAAGCAATTGTAACTTTCCTTCCTAATGCAAACATTCTAAAAGTCTCACTCATATAAAATGCCTTTTGCACAGGCATTTCAATTGGAATTTAAAGAAACAAATCTTGAACCACTTCTAAAAGCAATCAGCAACAATTCTCTACTTTCACATTTAAAGCATCTTCTAGAGGAGCAGCAGGCTGGGGTATTAAGTGCTTAATGATTAGACCAGTAGGAGTTCAAACTCTAACTTCTTACTTTTATTAGACTGTGACACCAGGCAAGATACTTTCCAGAGCACAAAGCCCTTCAGTTTAGAATATAGTGCACCTTATCAAAGAGCTGAGTGATCCCAAGAGCTAGATCCTGGCTGCAATTTGGCCATTGCTACTTTTATATTACCTTTCACATCTCTAGCCCCTCTCAACTGTCCGGGGCTATCTAATTCATTTATATGTTATCACTAAAGTCTACAAATAATATAAAAATATAGCTATAAACTATAGCCATCACATCATCAAGGCCTTCGACCAAAGCTGTTTGCCCTTACGATGTACTCCGGGCCTGGTGGCACATCTAAGATACCTGTGCTGTCTCCAATTTGGGGATAGCAGTGAAATGTGTAAGTTTGTGCACACATCTCAAGCGTCAAAGAAGAGTGTGTCTCTGACACAGCTCCCAATCCCATTGCTAAGGGTGCCAATATTCTGAGACAAGCTCAAAATGTCAGCCCGATTTGTCTTCTTTCCTTTCCCTCTCTATCCAATTCGGCAAATCCTAGGACATTTTCCTTCCATGTGGCCTTCCATGAGCCATGGTTATGAGTAGGGAACACGTGGATTGCTCTGCAACCTTAGCCAAGTTATTTAACTGCTTTCTCACCTGTGAAAAGTAGATACAATAAATAGTAGTCTACTCATAAAGTTGTGAGGATTGAGTTAGAACACATAGGAAAAGCTTAAAATAGTGCCTGGGTACATGCGAAACACTCGATAATATCAAGTATTATTATTGCTCAGGTTCACTAGTTTTCATTAACCTCTCCTTCACCTATTTTTCCCATTACAGTAACTTTAGCACTTAAAACTGTTTGCCCAGCTAGTGCATTTATTTGTGTCTGTTTCTTCCATTAGATCGTACACTTCTGGAAGGCAGAGATTATAACCTGTTTATTTTTTTATCCCCTAAAGCCTTTCATAGAACTTTAACTCAACACTCAATGTTTATCAAATGGCTTGTCTTTGAGCACTACTTATGCCTTCAACATAACCAACAAGTACTTAAGTGAACAGTGGGAACTACCTTTTAAGTCCTCAGGGCAACCACATAAAGGTATTATCATGATCTTAACAGTGAGGCTCTGGGAGCTGACTTTTCAGCATCCACTTGCTGAAGAACCACAGGACTTCACAGATTTGCCAGGCCTCTGACTTCTCTTCCAAAGACCGGTACCTCACTTTAGAACATCTCCATGGCAGGCCAGTTCCCACCCCTCTAAAATATCCGCTCAGTGCTCCTTCACTTAATGTTCTAGTATTTATTATGCCTTCACTGTCAACATCAGAGTGGCCAAAATCAAACAAAGTACATGGGAGTGTTCTATAAGCCAAAATTTCCAATAGAAACCTAGGTAAAGACAGTAAATACAGTGGCTATGTAGTTGATGAGTAGGCAACGAAAATGTTTAAGAATGTTCGTAAAAGTTTATATTAAGCAACATTCTGCATATATTTCCTCTTGGCACTAAAGAGCTATGCAAAAGGGAGGAATTGGACATAAATAGGGATTTTGCATAAACATAAGTACATATACACACAACCTAATATGCGTCAGAAAAATTCTCAAGTTTTCAGATTTTAATGATCACTTTGAGACAATCTTTGAAAATGTCAGTAAATCTACACTGATGATATACTCACTTGTAGCTTCCCATTCTGATTTACTTAAGGTTCCCTAAAATTATAAAAAAAAAAAAAGAAAAAGAAAAAGAAAAAGAAAATTTCAGATTGAATATGGAAGTACAGTTGACCTTTGAACAACACAGGTTTGAACTGCATGGGTCCACTTATATGTGGATTTATTTCAATAAATACTGTAAATGTGTTTTCCTTGTGATTTTTAAGAACATTTCCTTTTCTCTGGCTTACTTTATATAATACATTTAACAAATAAAATATGTGTTAATTAACTGTTTATGTTCTCTGTAAGGCTTTGGTCAATAGTAGGCTATTAGTAGTTAAATTTGGGGAGAATCAAGTTATACATGGATTTTCAACTGTGCAAGGGGTCAATGCTGCTGACTCCCACATTGTTCAAGGGTCAACTGTATATGTATATATATATATATATGCACTTATTTTTCAGTAATGCGCAGACGTGTCCAAACAACCCTATATTTGCTATAAATATACATACAAATTACTGTAAATATTATTGTGATCTGAACATATAAAACAAATCAACCTTTAACCTTTGACACCATCTCCTCAACACTTTCGCATTCCTGCCAAATCCTCTAAACTACTGATTCTCAACTAAAGGGTGAATTTGTGTAAAGAGGGTATTCATCTGTGTGTGTGTGTGTGTGTGTGTGTGTGTGTGTGTAAGTGTGTGTATATAGAAAAAGCATCTATCTTGTATATTTAACTTGGAAAGTAAAAAAGTAAAAATACCTATCTCAAAACATAAAATCTTTATGGTTTTACAAAGAAACCACCAAATAAAGTACATATCATGCAAAGAAAATAAATTATATTTAAAATGGTTATCAAAATATTAAAAAAACATTTTGATCTAATAATGCAACGATTAGTAAGACAGTGGCAATTCTAGCAAGTACTGTAATTTTGAAGAAACGATGAATGTCAACAATATTCTAAGATGTCAGCAGAAATGTGTTATGCAAAAATCTGTAATTTCTATTAATGACAAAATCACAGCTACAGATAATACCACTGTGGTATTGTTGCATTCACAGTAAGAGAAAATGTAAACCTCCATGTAGAAGTCAATGAAAATGAAAATTAATTTTTCACCATCTAAGTTCATGAGTCCTGAATTTTATCTGTGGAACATTGTGGGTTAGCAGTACCTAGGTTAAGATGATATAGCAAGGAAACTCAAACCAAGCCTATTAACTTTCCCCCACCTTTACTGCTTCATATATAGCACTCCATTCTCAGTTCACTGAAGTACATTTTATTCTATATTCTATGGTTATAAAAAGTCATCATAACTTAGGTGAAACAGATTAATATGTATCTGATTTATAACTCAGTAAATCCAAGTTCTGTAAACCAGTGAAATAACTTCCTAAATTTCCATAAGCTTTTTTTCATTTTTAATAAAATATGTTAAAAGATGAAAACTTACCAAAGGTAACCTTACTTGACTGTTCTTCATGTACTGTGCTGCATGTTCATAGTCATCCACCTTTTCGGATGCAAGTTTGGAATTCTCATTTGCAGGATATGGCTAGGGAAGCAAGTGAAACTCCTTGTTACAATATCACACTGAAGTTTACGGTTCAGAATTAAACATACTAAATCACTGAAATAAAATAATTAATACAATAATCCTGAAGTATTACTTGAGGAAGACAAACTACATATACATGTGAAATCTGAAAAATGAAATGGGTGGCAAGCATCATCTGTTAGCAAGGCAGCTGCTACGATGAACTCTGATCATAATCAGACTACTTCAAGTTGGACTAAACTATATCATTTAATCACCACCAAGAACCACATAGCAGAAAACACTGGCATTTCCCTCCCAGCCAAAGGCTTTTTCTGTTACAACACAAAGCTGAAGGAAGGTATTATCAAACGAGCTAAAGAGTAATTTGAGCATTATAGCTATTTAAGAGCCATGGAAGGCAGAACAGCAATTATAAACAATACAAATGAAAAACTCGTCAATGGAGAACCCCGTGAGTTTAACAGGACAAGGAAAATAATCCAGGTTCCAAAACATAGGCATCTCCACATTCCCATAAGAATCTGAAGAGGGGTGACACACACAAAAAAAAGAGAAAAAAAAAGTTTTTGTGTGTTTTTTAAAATTTATCTTTATTGTTGAAAATATTACAGATGTCCCCCTTTTTCCCCTCACTGATCTCCTCCACCCTACATCCACCCTGCCCCCGGCCTTCCCCATACCAATGTCTGTGTCCATGGGTTATGCATGTTAAGTAAATAAATTCTTTGATTAATCTCTCCCCATCCACTCCCCCATCCCTGCCTTCCCTCTGAGATCCCTCAATCTGTTCCATGCTTCTATGTCTCTGGATCTATTTTGTTTATCAGTTTATTTTGTTTATTATATTCCACATATGAGGGAGATCATGTGGTACTTGTCCTTCTCTGACTGGCTTATTTCGCTTAGCATGATACTCTCCAGTTCCATCCATGCTGTCCCAAAGGGTAGGAGATCCTTCAAAAACAGGTGTTTTTAAGGGTATGCTGACCAAATGCTTATTCAAATTACCTCGAGCACTATTTATAATCCATTTTAACTAATTTATCTTTATACTATGGTTAGTGCTTTGTAAATACATGTAAATTAAAATATAAATTACATAGAAAATTTACTATAACCACTATCTACTCTATAAAATTATATATTCTTTATAATGTCTGTCTTCTTAAAACAAACCAGCCAGCAAGAAACAACTTTAGGCCTAGATGTCCCTGATGAATTTTGAAGAAAATGATCTGGGAATGTCTACTTGCCTATCTTCTTTTTCCTTTTTCTTTATAAATATCCTACAGTGAGCAGAGGCAATAAAATTTAGCTATTTGTTTGCTGTTTAAAAAGTATTTGGCTTTCTGGATTTCCATAGTTACCATTAGCAACTATACTCTTTACTGCACTTTAACACAAGATCTAAGAAACATCGCTTGCAATCACTAAGTTCTTCTGAACCTTCAATCCACATCTTGCAGTTTCATTGCATCACAAAGCTTCAAAACCTTAATTTGAACGTCAGCCAAACTATTTTGTTGTAAATTTTTTCTCCATCTTATCAGTGTAATAAGACTACTTCTTGTGATTATTTCCCTGTCAACAAACACCTAGTTTTACTCCCCTGTTGATCATTTTAAAAGCCCAAACAACATGATTATAAAGCTGCAAAACTGTTTTTTCTAAATTTGCTAAAATGTACACATCCTATTCAGTGTCTCCCCTCAAAGCAGTTACCTTTCCAGAACTGTTTCCAGGTGAGAAAAAAGAAAACAGGTGTCAGGACTTTATAACTATAGTTCCTTGGCTTATGTCTTTTCATTCTTCCTTCCATCTGCTACACTGCTCCAGGAGAGCAGAGCAAAGTTGTACTGGTTCTACTGCTGAAACTCTGGGCCAGCTGAAGGCTGACGGCTTTAGGAAATGACCTTTTATAGCAAACATCAGAAAACAGATCCATTTAAAATCTGACCTGGACCAAAGCAATAAAATAGCATCCTGACTGCTCTTTCTGCCTCCGGTCTTAACACCCCTCCAAACCACACTACCTAGTCATGTTCTCACTCTCTCATGTCCTCTCCCACTCACAGTCCTTTACAGGCCTATAAAAGTGACCTGGTGAAGAAGTAGGAAAAAACAAAAAACTTTTTCAAACTACACACTATTACTGTTCATGTATGACCCTAGATAGCCACAGTGATAGGTCATATCCTCAAGCGCATTAATGGGGGAGAAGACTGGAGACCTACTGTGCTAAGAAATACTGAGTGATCAGTACTTCCTCAGACATTCTCTGCTCTCTCATGCTTCTCTGCCTTAACTCTTACAGTCTACTTTCTTCCAAAAGGCCCTCTTATATACTCACTGCACTTTATTACTTCTTCATTACTGCAGTTTTTACATTGTACTGAATTATTTATCTCCTTAATGCACCACAAGATCCTTAAAGAAAGGAGACCTTACCCCATATCCCACTGTCTACATATATTTTTGAATAAATCAATTTGTTACACAAATCAATTCATTACCCACATTCAAAGAGAATGTATAAGTAACTGACCACTGTCCATGCAAAGTACCAAGTAAGGACGATATACTAAAGGAATGTTTGTGTGTGGTGTGACCACTTAAGCACACACTTTTTCTAGTTTTCTCCTTTCCCTCAAAACAAACAAAAATATAAAACAAATACAAACATTCCTAATTCTAAAACACAAGAAATGTAACCAAAGACGAATATAACATTTTAGTGCTTTTAAAAGACAATTTAGGATTTAAAGGTGACCCTCCCACTCAAAATCAGGGGAGAGGGGAAGAGATGCATCTACAACAGGAGACTTTTGTTGGAGTATCACCTATAAAAACTGAAGAAAATCTGAATGTTAATAGCCATGTGACCCCAAACAAGCCATTTATCATATCTGAGCCTAAGGCTGTCTATTTAAAAATAGAAAAAGTAGCTTGCCTACTTTTTTTGCCTACTTCATGAGGTAATTATGAGGATAAACAGAGTATGCTTAAAATACTTTTAAAATATTCTAAATTGAATAAACTCTCTAAAGAAATTTAATGACTACTCGATTATTATGATCACTAATCAGTAACAAAAAGGCTCCTTGTCTATTCTGTATCTATCCAATTAAACACTGACAAAATACATAAGAAAAACTAGTTAATTAATGGCTGTATACTGTGTTTAAAGCCTGTATAGACTAACTTCACTACTGCAGTAGGGGAAACAGAGAGGAGTCCAGGAGTTAAAGCAGGTCTCAGTACCAATAGAGTCTAAAGACCAGAATCTTGCTTGACAGTCATAAAGAGCAAAATTATACACAGTATGAAATTGTCTTGGACCCTGGCCAAGGTTTTAAAATTACCAATTAACAAAAAGGCATTACTGTAAAGAAGTGGTTCTCAACTGGGGATGATTTTGAACCCCAGGGGATATCTGTCAATGTCTAGAGACATTTTTGGCTGTCACAACTGGGGGTAGGGGTCCTACTGGCATCTAGTGTGTAGAGGCCAGGGATGCTGTTGAACATTCTACAGTGCACAGAACAGCTCCTATAACAAAGAATTATCCAGTCCAAAATTCCAATAGTCCTGAGGGTGAGAAATTTTATTTTAAAGAATTACTATCTAGAAAATAAAATCTGATGACAGCATCACATGTTCATTCAAGTATTTACTGAGCACCTACCTAACCAGGGAAGTTTTTGTACCAAGTTCTGTCCTAGGTGCTGAAGAGCCTGAGTAGCTATAAATAATCTGTGCAATTTATATAAATATTAAGTATCTACATGGCCTTGAAAAGAATCTCAGAAGCAGCCAAAAAAGTTTACCATAACTTGGAATTTGTACACTGTTTCAAAATACTTACCTCCAGGGCCTGCATTCGTTTTAACAGCGTTTTATTTTCATTGTTCTTAATCTTTTCTTCATAGAATTCCAGGAATGTTCTTTTGTAGACTAGTTTCATATTGTACTTCTTCACCATTCTGTCCAAAAAAAGATTATGTAATGAAAAGGCTTCTAAAGTATCTGTAATTTCTCAATAGCTTACTTTCACACAACAGTGACATCTTCTGGACTTAAATTAAAAAGCTATCATATACAGGGTATCCCCTCAAAATGTATACACACACACTATGTCTGTAGATTCCATTACATTTTAAAAATAAAATGTATTTTAATAAACACTGCCTTTATAATTATTCAAAGTATGTATACATTTTTTGGGACATCCTATATTCACAATAAAATTATGCAAAATAAATGATGAGCTACATACCACTAGCCATGCCTACAAGAAAATATGCCTTCCAAATCTCAGTGGGTCACAGGGAGCTAGCTCTCTATTAATGTCACAAATGGGTCAGGAAGCAAAATGAAAGATTATGGGAATAAAAAGCTATCAGGAACACTTTTCTATAGAATCCCTTTTATTTAACTTTATTCCTTACAGCAGTATTGAAAACAGCTGCCAACTTCCTTCTTAAAATATCCTTCCTCTCTTGGGTTCTATGACAAGACATAGACACTATTAATTTTTATCATACATCTTGGGTTGCTTCTTTAGTTTGTTTCACAGGTTTCTTCTACCCAACTTCTAAATTTTAAGGTTCTGAAGGGCTTGGCCCAGAGCCTTTACTCATTTTCACTCCCCCGATTTTACCCAGCATGCAAACAGCCATCAGTGCTCAGCTCGCTCTTCTGTCCCTCATTTATTCCACTGCTTACTGGAAATCTCCACCAGGATGTGGCATAGGCACTCTCTAACTTCCCATGTCCAAGGCTGAACCCCACTAGATTGTTTCTCTGCCAACCTTTGCTCTTTTAGTAAATTTCTCTAATGATTCACGCAGAAATCCTGGGAGTTCTCCATGTTATCTCCCTCTCTCCACTGCCCACTGTATTCAACATGCCACTACACCCTCTCCATTAAACTATAAATTGTACTTCAATAGCTTGCCTTCAGCATCTTGAGCTAGCCAACTTCTTTCCCACTTCGAGTCCCTCATACATACTTGTCCCTTGTGCCTGGAATAGTCTTCATTCTAGTCTTTAACTGGCCAACTCATATTCATCCTTCAGATCTTGACTTAAACATTACTTCTTCACAGATGGTTTCCTTAAATCCTCAATTACATTAGGTTTCCCTATTACACTCTGTGTGGTTTTTCTCCCCCCACTCCATTTGCCAAAGTTTATAACTACCTATTTGTAGACAATATGAGGGAGCATATGGATGATTCCAGGCAGCAGGGAAAGAAGAAAAGGAAAACAGGGAAAAAGAAACCCCTGAAAAAACCCTGAGGGCTTGTGAGGTGACAGTCGAGAGGGCAGGATGAAGAGAAACATATGAGGGCCACTGGGATTTGTATGTAAAGGACGTATGTAAGGCAGGATTCCCTATAATTTAAATTATCCCTCCTTGGAAAGACAACATGAGTAAAGATAAAAATCTCTTCTACTCTAGTCAGTTCCTTTTCTATCATAAATCTCCAAATTAAGCTTTTAGAAATAAAACGAAGCTTTACACCCAAGAAATATAATGACAAAGAACTGAAACTCAGTTTGACCAACTTGAATAGGTTTGCCATATGAAAGCTAATTATATTTTTGTTCAATTCTTAATGAAATGGCAAAAGGGCATCTCAAAAATCCCTATGCACTGTTGGAATCTGTCTCACAAAATGAATACCTATTTCAATAAATTCAGATATTAAAGCAATGACTTGTGACTTTATACATCTATCATTATTAGGCAAATGAAGTAGAAAAGATTGCTAGTGCTTGCTTAGGACTAAAATAAAGTTAACTGAAATCACCAACTTTGTTAATTGAAAACATCAAGATAACATATTAAACATATGAAACAATGAAAATGTTTACTTTCTTATATTATAAAGCTGAAGAGCAGTAACATTCCCCAAAAGTTTACCAATTTTAAGAACAAAAATGTCATTTAAAATTTTTAATTTTAGTTTATATTTATAAAATTGTGCAAAATATTTTTCTCATGTTCTGTCACACTCTACTTAACATATAAAATGTATTATATATCTTACATTTTATATGTTCATTATATGTATTATAGAACTCCTGAAAATCCAATACCCATAATTTTACCAGCTGACTGAGACAAGTTCAAATAATCACCAACCAAAAGTAAGCAGACAATAAATCTCTGTTTTCCTCCCCAGTTAAAAAGACTTTTGTTTATAAAGGTAGGAAATGAAATTTGGTCAGCTGTGATACGGCCTAGATTTAAGTTGACTCTTTTACTCTCCCTACCAAGAAAAACCCCAAGACCAAGGTATCTCATAAGGCCTTGAAGCCTTACCTGATAAGTCTGGTACCCCCACTTTCCCTGTGTATATAGAGTCCCCAGGACTCCTAGGAATTCAGGTACATGAGTGAATGAATTCCTGAATCAGGATTTTATTATCAACATTGCCTGAAACATAGGCGATTTCAGGACTATAGGGAAATGTAAAACAACTTTTAATATCCATCCCTGTCAAAAGAAGGATTCATTTGATATTGCCAAATTATTAGCAGTTATTTTAAAAAAATCTTTTGCTATTTGTAATGCCAGGTATTTTTTGCCACAAGTTGAAGGTAACAGACTCCCTTTCTTACCTAAAAGATAAAATAATTCCAGGAATAAAAGAAAACTAAGTAACGCTGTAAGAGACCTATGGCATCAACCCTGCCTGGATTTTAGGTCTTTTTTTTTTTTTTTTAAACAAGGTTATATTTTTCTTTTGGGTCCCCTATAAAATAGAGAATGACTAGAAATACAGATACCACCACCCCCTTTTCCTCTCTGAAGGCAAAAAGAGAATAGTAACAGATTAATAACATTCTTACTCATTTAGTAACGGAAAATAGACCAAAAATTCTGGGACATCCACAACACCTTCCAAGTGGAAGTCATATTTGCAGCCAAATAAAGGATAATCTCCTTTCTTCTGAAATTTCACAGTATATATTTCATTTCCAAATGACTCCGTTTCTGAAGCTTCAAGGCGTCTTCTATAATGGTTTTCCCCAAACCAAAATAAAAAGATTAAACTTGTTATTAGCCCAGATTTATTTTGATCAGTTTATGCATGTGAAAAAAACCACATGATGCAATTTTAAAAAGACAATTGATTAGCGATTAGCTTTTTTGTTGTTGTTAATCCTCTTCAGAGGATATTTTTTCCACTGATTTATGAGAGAGAGTGCAAGGGAGGGAAGGAAGAAGGGAGAGAGAGGGGAAGAGGGAGAGGAGGGGGGAGAAAGAGAGAGAGAAAGAGAGAGAGAAACATCAATAACATCAATGTGAGAGAGACACGTTGACTGGTTGCCTCCCCACATGCCTGGACCAGGCCAGGGATCCAACGTGCAATCCAAGTACATGCCCTTGACTGGAAATCGAACCCATAGCCCTTACGTCTGCAGGCCAATGCTCTAACCATTGAACCACACCGGCCAGGGCTGATTAGCTTTTTAATAGAATTCGAGATACTTTTAAGAAGCAATATACAAAAAGATGATTAACAATCGCACTAATAATAAAATTAGGCTGGAAAGTAGGGTTCATTATTATGACAATTAAGTCTCTGTGCCTTGGAATCTGATCTGTAGCTTGTCAGCACCACCACCTTTGGCTGGATATAACATCAGCCTCCAACTTACACATTAAGATGTTTTAAAGGTTCATGTGTAAATCTGTCTTTTGAACTTAAATTCTGAGTATCTACTCAAATACATTATCAAAACGTTTAGCAATTTTAAGATCAACAAGGTGTGTTTTATAAAAGCTCTCTGATAAACACTGCTACTTTAAAATAAGCTTAATACTGAGTTTACTGTAAACCACAATATAATTTGAAAGTACTTACATCAGTTCAAAGCTATTGGGAGTGGTACCTATAAAATAGCCTCCAGGGTTAAGCCTGTCGCAAGCATTTCTGAGCATCATGTCAGCCTGCTCATAGGACTCAAACGAGTAATGACAGACAAACTGACAACTGCAGATGTCAAAGCGCATCTCTGGGTCATGAAATTTGTCAATCAGAAGTTCCTAAAGCAAATTAAAATGGGTAAATATGTTAAAGTACAACATAAAAGATTTTTAATAAATTAATTTATAGAATTAGGGTCCTTAAAATAAAAGTGGAAATACCCTCCAACTGACCTATCCTTTCTCTCACGTATAACAAGGTTCTTAATGAAATCATTTTTTCATTCTTGTTCACTAGAAATTTTATTCCCATTTTCATAGTAATTTTAAAAAACTAGGGATTCTGAAATCATGTTAAAAATATGACATTTAAAGGAGTTGATCCTTTTATTTGGCTTTACTTGGAAGCTAAATAAAGTGACATTGAATAATAACTTGGGTTAAAAAAATCCCACAAAGCTGGCCTTAGGGACATTTAGAAAAAAATACACTACTATTTTTAAAGGTTTCCAACCTTTAAAAGTGGTAGTATTCTAGCAGTATACTCCCACTTCCCCTCTCACTTTCAAAACTGCTAACAACACGGGTAGGATGATTAAAAATATCTCTAATAGCTTAATGAGCTAACAAGTCACACAAAGAACATAAAGTTCAAGGTAAGACTTTCACCACTCAAGTGTCTCAGTAGTTCTTAAACTTCATAGTTGTTAAGCAATTCAGAAACAGAAGCTGAAAAAAAACAGACCTTTGTATGTTGGGAAACTACATTCATAAATTACAAGGTGAACAAAACATAAATTCCATTCTAATTCAAAACACTGGAAAATAAATATTGTCCAAATGGAAAAGCAACAAGTGATTTCAAAAGTTTAAATTATTAAAAGCAAAAAATTCTCAGAAGTACTGAGATCATTAAAAAATTGATCATGATAGAATTTCCAGCTGAAACTGAAAACGCGTCAGAAGGTTTTTAAATTTCAGAACACATTTTTTAAAAAAGCTAATTTTTAAAACAAATCATTTACCTAAACTAAATATATAAAAAATAAATTGACAAATTAAAAAAAAACACTGTACCTTTGAACTATCAGCAGTTATAAATTCTGCATTGAAAACATATTCATTATCACGACGATTTTTCAGGTCCTCATACCGCTGCTGACACTGTTTGACAGAAACATCAGCAATATCTGGAAGGGGAAGGGGTGTTAGTAACTGTCAACAAACACCCACAGAGAGAGCAAAATGTAAAGCAAAAATGGCACAAATCCACAGATTAACCTCAAGGGATAAACTTTCAAATGAAATCTAGCTTTAGTATAAGCAAAAAGGTTCTATTTCCTTCAAAACAAAAAAGGTCTTTGTTGCAATGTAAATGCCCTATTATTTTTGAAAAGATGCTATAAGCTTTCTAAATAGGTACCTATAACAGAAAAATTCTATAATGATTTTTAAAAGCTTATTCAAAGTTAAAAGCAGAAAGTTTAGATTCCAATTTGAATTATAAAACCTAACACTGTATGCCCAGTTTTGGAATTAACAAATTTATATTTTCTTAATAAAATGTTATTTGTCCTTTTCCCTGTGTTAAGGTTTGCACTGATGGAACAAAAGCAACAGTGGATAAAATGCCGGCATCTTATCATGAATATAAGGTAGTGGCACTTAATGGTACCGGTAATACTTACATTCTTCAGCACTACAAAACTAGCATGGGGAAAAAGTCAATTTCATTTAAGAATATCCTTGATAAAGCAGTAAAAATTAATTTTATTAAATCTTGGCTCTTGAATACATCTTTTTAATATTCTATGTGATGAAACAGATAGTAACAAAAACATTTCTACTATATAACAAAAGTCTGAACAGGACTTGTGTGACTGCGTTGTGAGCTGACTGGCCAATTTTTTCATAGAAAATTGTTTTCACTCAAAAGAACCATTGACAGACAAACTGGTTATTCAGACATGGTAATGTGGCAGACATTTTCTTGAAAATATACAAAGTGAGCCTGTCACTTTGAGAAAAACAATGTACATATTTTTTACCAATGACAAAATTTGAGCTTTCAAGTGAAAGTTACAATTCAGTAAAACTTATTTCTACCACTATGGGCTGGATATCTTGCCATTACTTCTCCAATTGGTGGTGATAGTAAACAAATGTGATTTCTTGGTATCAACATAGAGAAGATCTGCGTAACATTATTGAACATTATTTTCCAAATATTACAAAATCTCACGTGACAAAACAGCCATTCAAAGTGCAAGATAAACCAATGGAATTAAATGTAACAGATTATGAAAAGTTCATCAATATGGTTTCAGATTCCACACTGTGGACCTTTAAGGAACTTGTCAAGTTTTGATGTAATATCAAAGATGAATATCCTATCTGAAAAGGCTATTCAAATACTCCTGCATTTTATAACTACTTATCAAATAAAATAACAAATCACAACATACTGAATGCAGAAATGGGTGTGAGAATCCAGTTGTCTATTATTCCAGACGCTAAAGGGACCTGCAAAAATATTTTTTAAATGCCAGTCTTCTCACTAAATGTTCTTTTTTAATGGATTAAAAATATTTTTTAAATTGTTTTAATTACTATAATTAATTGCTATAACCACATACACAAAAGCGTTCTGGGATCCTCAAGCACTTTTAAGAGTTTACAGTGGTCTTAAAAGCAAAAAATTTGAGAAGTGCCAATTTGGGCAATACTTCGCAGGTAATACTATGCACTTCCTATTACTCGTCATACTGGGAAGAACATGCTTGCTTGTTCCACTTCTGTGCTGACTGACCAGGGGTTCAGTTGCTTAATTCATTCCGTTAAGTTGCTTTCAACTTTAATAGCTTTAGCATCTGTTTATGATTGTTGCTTTCATCCATTATTTCATCAAGGTGGAAAAATTGTGATTTTCATCATTCCTTCTGCATTTATTCATTATTATTTTTCAATAAAGAGAAATTTTCCTTTTCGACCATTTGGTTACCTTGAAATATGGTTCCCATAGGGTAGGAAAGATACTCAATCCCTGCCCTCCCTCTTAATTTATGAATTTCAGAATAATGAGTAAGTTTCGCAGCAACCTCTAAGGGTGAATAATAAAACTTTTTTCCTTTATTTGGTGAGTTTCAATTCACTGTAATCACTATTCTTTTTGATGATGAAACTGCTCCATCTTTTCAAGTTTGTATCTAGACATGACTCTAATCACCTTTGATTGCCTGCTTCCTTTTAGGAAGGACAAGTTATTCTAGGCTGACTAACTATAGTATAACACCATCAGTAAAGTCTAATTTTAAAAACACCCATGTCAGGCACAGCCCCCCAATATCCTGAAATAAAATACTTTAGTGTCATTTTGATGAGCCCATCTTATTTTTCATTTCCCTCACTGAACACAAATTACTCTTTTAGACACCATTGTTTATCTTACCAGTACAAACTAGCTTGTTAATTCTTCCCTTTTTCCACTTGAGCAAATCTCCACCTTTACCACATCCCAGGTCCAAAACTGTAATGTCACGTTTTTTTTTCTGTCGCAGCTTTTCCAAAAATTCCCCTAAAACGGAGAAATAAGACATAATAGAAGATCTACATTTTTACTAAAGCATAAACTGTTGCCCATAATAACCTATTAACTTCTGTCTAACATGTAATATGAACTATTATATTTTCATTTGATGAATTTCATGTAATTCATCACTTATGGTAAATGTTTCAAAATATGGCTAAGAGTTAATTAACTTGATCCTGTAGCATTAAAGATGAAAAGGCATGTATCTGGTATTTTAGAAAGTTAAGACAGGTTTTTGAAGATTACTTTCAAATCTGACTCAACATTAAATAGCAGACATTTTAAATTCTAATTAATACAAGAAGACTCACAATTATTCATGATAAGAGAAAAACTTATAATTCATAATTTTTATAGTTTTCTCTTTCCAAAGCTAAGTGTTTAGCTTATTATACACCTAAGTTAATCAAAATAAGTATGGAATAAGAGTGCTTGATTGTCATAAAAGATGTCAGGTTTACTACCAAAAAAAATACAAGAACTAGTCAAAAAACTATACATACCCCTATATTTTACTATCAGAATTCTTAAACACTCTGAAGTAAAAAATGGAATCTTTCATCCCAATCTACCAAATCACACTAGAAGCCAACAAATAATATCAGTAGGTCCCCATATATCAATAGCGAAATGCTTCAAATATCAGTTATAGGCATCTTAATATTCTTAGACAACTGAAATATTCAGCAATTCTAAAACTTGATACACTACTATGTCCTAGATCTACTCTTTCTGTCTTTATCACTCTGAGTTTAACACCTTCTATTTCATGTGTATTATTTTGATTGCTAGCATATTCTGTATAAATGCTTGCCTTTCACTGTCCATAGGATCTTAAAGTAATTTCAGAAGTGCAAGTGTTCCATATTTAACTTTCTACTATCTTAAGAAATAGCATAAAAATAATATTGAAAGAGTAAAAAATAACTACTATAAAACCTCTTTATTTCCATACAAGTAAAACTAATGAGAGAAATCATGAAACATTATTCAAAGATATCTTCATCACATTTATGAATAGTACTCAACTATTTACTAAGCTATAAGCACCAACAAGAAAGAGAAAATGAACAACAAAGAATGGATGTTGTGAAGAGAAAGAAAAAAGCCAGAGGGAGCTTGAATAGACCACAAGATTGCATTAGGACCAGAAAGGCAAGTGCAGATGGCAAAGCACCCACTGAGAGAGTTGCTGAAACAGCTGAAGAAGGAAAATACCATGAATATACTGAGATAAATTTCTGCTAAGTCTGACTTAAGTCTTTTAATGAATAAATACACGAATAAATGAAACATCATTAAAAAAAACCAATAATAAGTTATCTGCATTATTGGATCTGCAGAAGAAAAGCAGGAGAAAATAAATTAGGACTAAGGTCCAAAGATTACCTTAAAAGTATAAGCTACAAATGACATAATATTAACCTTAAAAAAAAAGTGAAAAGAAAACTGACACTCACTTAACTACCCTAGCTGACACCTGGCAGAGTCAAATAAATCATATTTTTATACTAAAACATGATTAAAAACAAAAATGAGATAAATAATACCAAAATGTGTTTGAAAAAATGACTCTAGTTTCTACTCTTAATACTACTCAATGTCTAATTTATTTCTAAAAGTTAGTAAGTTATCATCAAACTTAGTAGAAAGTATCCACAATTAGCACTTTCTTTCCAGTGTAATCAAGAAAGCATTTTCATTTTTCCTAAGACTGGCTTTAAAAAAAACAAAAACCATACTGAGAAAACCTTCAAAATACACTGGCTTTTTAAAATCTTAAACTCATGTAATAGTCTACTTGATGTACTAGATATACAATGCAATAAATATATCCTGAATCATATTTCCTCCACTGACTTCATTTTTAATTTCAAAGGTGAGTTTCCATAGATAAAATGCTGGATCCAAAAAGTTGAATGTCTTCATTAATCGTTAACATAAAGTGCATTTTCTCTTCAAACACCATACAAGAAAAGTAAGTTCAATGGAAAATCAATAAACATGATCTTTACCAACTCATTATAGACCTTGAAATAAAAAGTCATGATTCTGCCAATTTCCTTGACTTAATGGAACCTGAATGTTTAATCCAACAGTATGTCAATGCCTCAAAACTATTAGAGTAAAATAGAATAATTACTTAATAGCATTAATAGCATTAACTCTAAGTATAAAAGGAGCACACTACCTTTTGAAGCCTGGTTAACTTTTCAACTTAATATCCATTAAACACTCAACCAAAAGTAAATACAAAAAGAATTTATCTCAAAGGACTACTTTTAGTTCTGGGTCCAGTTTCATAAAGCCAAGGTTTGATAATTAAATGAACAAAAATTAATGATCTGGCAACGTGGTATATATTTAACCATTTAAGGGGAAAAATGAGACATAAACTGAAATAAAAAATTCCAAACTATAAATTAAAAAAAAAAATCATACCAATGAGGACGCTTTTCATCCAATTATTAAAATTTCTTAGGTAAAAAATACGACTTTGGCTACGCTTCTCCAAACCAACTTCCTGAAGTTCATTGTAGTGGGCAGCCACTGTTGAGCTGTGCCCTTCTTCTAAATTCTGAAGATGAGAGAATGGAACAAAATTAAGGATTAGAACATGGCAGAAATACATCTAAAAGAGCATCTGACCTATATAAGGATAAAATACTACTGAAATTACATTAAACAATGGCATTAACAGAAATCCTACTAATTATAGTTTCCCCCTTCCCTATTTTTAAATATATCTCTAGGTTTAAATTTTTCATTTTGATCTTTCATCTGTATAATTTTGGTACCAATGTTTTAATAAAACAAGTACTCTTCCAGAGTTCTGATTTATTCAATTCAATAAATGCCAGTCAGTGGATGGATTCCTACCAGAACATAAAATAGGAATAAATTATAATTATAAAATAGTTGTGACCACTACATGAGATCATACACACAAAGAGGTTTAAACTCAATAGGCTATGCTCAGTGTCAGTGATTCCTACTATTATTTGCTATTAATCTAATTCAACATTTTCAATTTGTGCTCCCTACTTAAGGCCCTACACATTCTGCAAAAATCCCATGGTAGGTACAGGGGTTTCCTGTTCAACCACAGTGGTTCATCTGTTACCTATTTTATGTATCAGGCTCAAGTTTAAGATTTTTACTTGAGATTTTCACTGCTAGTTGAAGTTTGAAAACTAAGTTTATAATACAAGCTCCTCTCTGCTACAAGGATTCACACTCCACTAATGACAAATGCTTAGCCTATCTAAGTGCACTCCTCTTCCTGGTCAATGCAGAATTTTACTCATTCATTGAAGCTCTCTTTCCCTCCAAATCTAGATTTTGTCTCAGATTCCTTCACAACATGGTATTCCCAGATGAAAATGACTTGCTATTCCTTGCTCTATAGTATCTCTGCTAAATATCAGGCTTCTGCATCCACTAGCTAAAATTGTAACTACCCAAACAAGAAGTTGAAACAATATAATTAAAGAAACTGCATTAAAAAAGGAATGTAAAGCTGGGTATGATTTTGAAATTTATCATTTTGAGTGATACTACTTCAGATACAAAAAGAGATAAACACCTAATAAAAAATGAAAAAAGGTAAATCATCTGGACCTCATACTCTTGTCTTTTTTAAACTCTAAGAAAAAACAAACTATAAAACCTAGCTTTCAAGTTTCTAGTCAAATAAGAGTTCTGATACCATAAAAATGATCTCATTAGCAGTTTTACCTAAATAAAACTATCAAAGTACAAGAGTTAAAAGCTTACTCTATCTTAATACAATAAAAAAAAGAACATTCTGAAGTTACTGAGGTTATGTAAAAACCAGTATTATTTCACAGCTGCTCCACATTTCAATTTGACATATTTCATTATGAATAAAATACATTCCACATACTTTTTGCTTTTCAGAAACATCTTCAAGTTCTCTTTTTCTCTTTTTCTGAGTGCCATCTGCAGGAGAAGGTTCATCGGATTCCATTCTTTTCCTTGAAATGCCTTCACCTGAACCTTTTTCCTCTAAGACAATTTCAGCATCAAGTTTCCTTTTCTTGGATGGAGTGTCTTCCCCACAGCTGGAACTCTCTTTTACAAGATCATCTGCAAACTCCATTTTTCTTTTTTGGGGGGTGTCTACTTGCCCACAGGTAGGAGCCTTTTCAAAAAGCCCAGTCCCAGGAGTGGTTGTGTTTTCATTTGTACTGAATGAAGACTCTGTTACTGAATTTGTTGATACTTTTGCTTCTTCAAGGGAGATCTGTTCTCCTTCCTCTGCTTTTGCAGAACTTTCCATTTTTAATTACTTAAATAGATGGTAAAATTTCATGAATGAACACTGAAATGGTAAAAATTTGATATTACTTATAAACACTTTAAAAGAATTTTAACCAGAAGCTAACCATTTAATTTCAGTGATCAACTAGGTGTTTTAAAAAGATCTCATGAAAACAATGTTAATTAATATATAGTAATATGAATTCTTTAATATACTAATGTGGGAGTACTAACTATAACCCCAAACACTTCTAACAATCTTACCATAAAAGTCACTACTGGCATTAAAACTGACAAATGAAGTGGGCGCATACAAGTTCCTTTTCTATTCTGATCCTTACTCTATAGCCCTGGTTCCCAAATTGTGTGCTGGGCACTAAAACAAACTCACACAGGCACAGCAGGATATTCTAAAATTTTAAGGGAAGCATAATGACATCTGATATCTGGAAGATATCACAGATACAGGTTCAAGTAGAGCACAGTTTCAGCTGAGTAGATTGCACTACATCCCTTTCAATGACAACATAATTTTGTGAAGCTGAGATTTTTGTGGCACTGAAGAAAATTAGTTAAACAGAAAATGAAGCTGGTGATGTCGAATCTTATGTCAAGGCTTGATAAGTTGTACAGAACTCAACAGGTACACAGATTCCATTAGTAAGGACTCATGGTTAACTAAAAATTAAACACAAATATTATTTTTTTCTTTCAGTTTGTGTATTATTAACTAAAGTTGCTAGGATATAAATACTTAAATTCTCTGGACTAAACTACTTATGAGTAGTAGTGCTAGGTATTTATTTTGCCCTGGAGACGTTGAAAAAAACAAACCCAGGGACACTAAGGTCACAAAGAACAAGAAAAGTATAGGAACTTTTAGTTGACTTCTGAAATCCCTATTTCGCAACAGGAGTCAGAATTAGGTAGAAAGTGAAGAGAGTAGCTTTGGACAAGAAGTTTCAAGACTCAGCCTGAAACTTAATAACCATTAAGTCTCTTTCAAATGTTCTTAGGCCTAATGGGATTGGAAGGGAAATAAGTGAACTATCTATTGGACAGGAAGTGGTATGGTGATCCATTTACTGTCACTTAACAAATTTACTCAACTCCTACCACAGGGGAGCTCAATGAAGCACTGTGTGAATTACTGTTCAAGAAGCTTACCACTATTCAAACCTTAGGCTGTATTATTCGAAACAAATGGACAAGGGCGAGCAGAAGTAAAATAATCAGGGAGATTCTGTAAGTTCAAACCTGACAGTTATGAAGGGCAAAGGGGGAGTCTTGAGTAAAGCAATTTCTGAATATGCTAATGTGGTAGTACTAATAAGAAATAAAGTGGCTTAAGGGCATGGATAAAAACAAGTCACTATAAACTGAGAAAGGTTTCAAGGGATAGGAGCTATCACTGCCCAAGGTTTGAGGTAACAAAATACTAAGATATTCCAAAATAGGAGGAGCTGAATGGGGGGGGGGAGGGTGTTCACCCAAAAAAGTAATTTTCAGAATGACTATTTAAAATGACCAAATCCCTATCTTCTCCTCTGTGCTATTTATTTCCTAAAAATGAACAGAAATGGGTTTTAAATTGAAATAAGCAAAAGTGATTTACCATTTGAGCTGTAATTAACACCTGAAATTTGTATTGGGAATACAGGTGTGAAGTTTATATGGGCAACTCTACTTCCACAGATGAGATGTCATAAAAACAATCAACTCGGTCAGAATAAATGACAAAAAAAATTCGGAACGACAGCAGAAATGGGTGAGAATGTTTGAAACAGAACGTCCAAGTGCAATAATGAATAAACTCGAAACGCAAGAGTGTTGCCCTTCAGAATCGTGGAGGAGGGAGCTCACGGAAAAGAGTCAACCGACATCGGAGAGTCGGATATGCAATAAAACGACCAAACAGACATTTCGACCTGGCTTTCCAGGCACCTCTAAGGCAAGCCGGCTCCGTCATTTCAGTTCCTCAAAGCACAAGCGAGCTGCGCGCCAGGACGCCGGCCTTCGGCTCAATCAGGATAAGCTCTGCCTCCCGACTCGCCGGCCAGACCGGGTCACCTCGAGGGCCCGGGAAGGCGCGACAAGGCATTTTCGCGGGAATGGGAATTTTTCAGATAAGTTCACCCTCTTTCTTTCGTCACCGACGCGGCCTAGCTCTTAACCCAACCTCCGGCTCAGGTTTCTGACGCGCCGCTCAAGACACACAGACTCTACTTCGCATCTGACACGGCCTCCCTAGCCCGCCCTCTCGGCGCGGCCCTGAACTTGCGGCCTATGCAGCTCTCCCGGCTTCTCCCGACCCCGACTCGCTGGGTCTGCAGGGGCAACACCGCCCGCCGGCTCCCGCAAGTGTTGCCCATTTTGCTCAGCGCTGAGGGCACAATAAACCCCTCGCGAAGGATACTGAAAGCACAAGGCTACGACAAAGCGAGCTCATCTCAGGAACCGGAGCGCCCCTTCCACCTCCATGGCGGCGCAGGACCCAAACACAAAGAAAGGAAGGGCCGAAGCTCCAGCCGCCACACTCACCAATACCGCCACTCACGGTTCTGTTTTCGGAAGCGGTGAGCCGCGCCACGCTCGTGGAGTTACGCCACTTCCGGGAGTGCGCTGGTCACGTGACGCAGCTGTGGGCGGTGAGCGGCGCGCCCGCGACCTTCGCGCGGAAACTACGAGTCCCGTCGTGCTGCGCGCAGCGGCGTGCTCGGGACGCGCCTGGCGGCTCGGGCAGCCGCGGGCACGTTGCTAGTGGGCGCGGCTGGTGGGGCTGCGGGTGTTGGGAGGGGGCGTCCGCTGGAGCCCCGCGGGTTCTAGCGCCCTGACCCACGCTTGGCCAGGTCGCTCTGTTGAGTGACGTCGCCGTGGCGGCTGAGGAGCTGTGGTCCGGCCTGGGCGGCGGGAAGCGGCGGCGGCCTCAGCGTCCCAAGAGGTAGCCTGGGCCCAAGACCTTTG